TCTAACAAACATGTTCTAATTCCCACAATAACTAAATCCCAACAAAAACAAGCCAATGTTCTTATTTCGTGTCATTTAAACTCCACTCAGGATGTTGGTTAAGTCCTTTTTTGTTCCTACCTGAAATGCAGAACAGAGTAACAGACTCCTTTCAACTTGCTTGTTTTGTGCTCACAGCTTTAGTCAGTCTGAAACTTCCCACTGGGAGAGAAAAGAGTACTTCTTGGCAAGAACCAGGAAGTTCTCCCAGCATGTCATAGCTTGTAACCACAACGTGTAGTTTCCATAACTGCTGCTGAAGCATAGTGGCCTCTGGTTATGGTCCTGGCACAGACAAGACATTGCTTCCCACAGCTCCCGTTGGTTGGAAACGGCAAATCATAGCCAATGGGAGCTCCGAGGCGATATGGCTGTAGCGCTTTAGAGTAAACAAAACATCACGGGCTTACCAGGGGCTTGCTTTCCCTGACAGGTCTGCGACACAAGTTTGAAAACCCCTGAACTAAGAGATAAACAAATCCCAAATAACCTATTTTTAGTATTACAAAATACAGCCACAATTTTACAAACACTGACATATAAGTAATCCCATTAAACTCACTTGGGATTACTCGCATGTGTTAAGTTATTCCTGTGCGCAAAGGTTTTCAAATAAAGGACCTATATTTAGACTAAATGGCCTCAGCTCTTTGAAACACAGGACAAATTAATTAAAATATTATACAAAAGTTTATTAGCAGTGTAATATTGTTTAATATGAAAATTGTGTATAAAGGAAACTTGCTAAATCTCCTCAATAGTATTTATATTGCAAAATGATTTAGGCCCTTGAGAATACAAGAACATAATCTCAGGTTTGAAGAGCCCATGGAATTATGATAAATTTTACAAATTGTGTCCTTAAAAATGTTTTATTTTATGTTTAGAAACTTAACACACTTGCATTCATAGAACATGAAATGCAATTATTACAATAAGTGATCAGGATTAGAATATTGGTTCCTTGGAAGTTAATCTTCATACATATTCCCCAAGTACAATTAATCTATATATTAAACAGGACAATTAAATTAGTCATGTTAATAATTCAGATGACAGCTTTATGTCTGAAG